CAGCATGGGACCCCTACACCACCAACAGGTCTACATCATCCTTCTCCCACTAAAGAATATATTCCTCAAAATGCAACTCAAGAGATACCTTTTTTTCCTCATTTTAAACTACCTTCTTTCTTGTTGCTGTTGTCTTCTTGAGACAGGGTCTCCCTGTAGCCCCAGATGGTCTATAACTCACTATGCAGATCAGGCTGGTCTCAATCTCACAGGGATCCTGTGTCTGACTCCTGAGTGATATACTTAAAGGCTTGTACCACCATGCCTGGCTTAAGTTGCCATCTTAAGATGGCTTCAAATTATATGGTAGATGTCAGGACAGCTCAAAAGGCGGTCACTATCCACAGCTACCCCCTAACACCTAGCAGAATGCTGTGTCCTAGAGGTTCTTAATAAGCCTTTGAAACTTATATTCGGGACAATTAATTCACTAACAACCAAATAAGATTAAAGTTAGATTACTGAGTATATAAAATGTACAAGACACTATAAAGGATACAACAATTGCTGAGATGATCTTAGTTTATATGTAATTAAAGTCTGTGTGGGGAGGTTAATCATGCATGTTCCTGTCTATAAGTAGATAAAAAGGGGTATGCAATGAGAGGGAGAGTCCAAGAGAAAAGGTATCCTGGCAGTGTGTGTGCAGAAGAGATTTCAAGGCTTGACTAAAAAAACATTTTGTTGGTGAAGTCTGATGCCGCTGAACAATTTTGATTTGACAATCAAGAAAATTAACCTAGAGGTCAAGGCCAAAGTATAAATATGAGGAAAATAGCTAAATCAGGGAAACCAGTTAGGAGTTTAACAATATCTAAGGATAGGAAGATTGGAAAGACATAAACAGATTGGAATAATACAGGTGAGAAAACCCAAAAATAAGGAACTTGATTACATTTTGGGGAAAGAAAAGTGGAAGGAGAGGAAAGTTGTGTTCCCAAACAAAAAACTAGGTAAGTGATAGAGCAGGGGTTCAACACAATTCAGAGGTAGTTCTGAGTGCCTGTTCTCTGCAAGTGGTTGCATATTTTATAGACGAATCTATCAAAATGTTTTCATATGCTGTTTCTTGCTTAATTCTAAAGTTGAGCTTCCAATCACAAATAGGATAGAATAACTGCAGTGGGAGAAAATAAGAAACTGACCATATGATAGTCACCTGTATTAGTAAAGTTCAGTTTAAAGAATTGATGTTTATCTGAGGTTTGCTGTGTTAGTTTTAGCTCCATTATCACTCATGTGGTCATTTTTCCTTGCTAAATTTTTTTCCTTGGTAAATTTTTGGAAATGCAGTAGGGAAAGAACAGCAGAATTTTTAATAGAGTTCCTTTCTATAAAAAGGAAATCAAATAGGTTCCTATCAATTTGTATAGCATTTAAAAATATTACGAATTCTTATTTTAAATTCAAGAGCTTCCTAAGTATTTGATATATCTATCAACAGGTTGAAGTAGATAAGAAGTTTTAAGCCTTATTTTATAATCTATGTCTTTAAGTTTAAACCAAGGAAGAACTGCTCAGTTCTGAAGGAGGCCTATACTAATACGGTTAAAGAACAGTGAAGGCATGAAGACTCTCAAATTCAATGGCTCTTCAAATACTTCAAAAGCTGCTGTGTTTGCTCAGCTACTTGATAAAGTGTTCAAAGTGTGAGGATTTTGATGTGAGAAGTGCTACCATTTATATCATTCAGCACCAAACTTACTATATTCCTACCGATATAGCCAAAGAAATTTATTGTAAGGTATAAACCCTGAGATATCTAACTGTGTGACAGAAAGAGGGGTCCTCCAATGACAAGATGACCATAAAGATCAAGAGCTCATAACTTACATCTCCATACATCTCCAACTCTAAAAAAGCATCAATTTTATATCTCTCTAGTAAAGAGAAAAAGTACCATCGCTGTGACTTTCACCATAAGACAGTCTAAATGAAGACATGCTAAGATATGAAAGACATACATCTCAGAATATGAATTTGAAATAAACTATATTTACATCTACTCATTTAATCAACATATTTATTTGAAAACAATGATGATGCCAGAAGAGAGAATCTATACCAACATTTAAAAATTCTAAGAACTGTGATAGTTGTAGTAGACATGAACAAACCTTTGG